GCCTCGAGGTGGTGGCAAGCAAAACGGGATTTCGAATGATTGATAGGAAGGAGCGTGTGCGAACTCGTATCACGCGTGGCTGCAGTAGAAATATGAACCGGCTTGAATAAAAATTCACGGCTCTGACCTGGCTATGTGGGCATGCTCACCTGCGATTATATTCAGGGCTGAATGCAAAAGGCGCGCCCCGTTAACGCTAACTTTTCTCAAGACTTTCTCGCGTCGCAACCACCATACCGCACAGCCTTTTTGCTCTCGATATATGTATGTACATACGCGGTGGACTGAAAGTTTGCTAGAAGTTTGGTAGTATTTCCTTTTTTGGAGGGGGATTAACTCTTTGTGGACAAACTGGGTCTTCGATGACCCAAGTGAAATTTTGCTCTTGCCTATTTCTTCTAAACGAATTCTTACTTTCATCGAGGACAAGTATTCCAGAATATTTTCAGATGTTTTTCAAAGCCTAGAATAGTAACTATTTTCTTAGGAATTAGCCCTCAGTTGTCAATCTGGGTCGCTGGCGACCCAAATGAAATTTCGCTCTTGTATTTCTTCGAAATGATTTCTTACTTTTATCGAGCAAAGTTTGAAACATTTTATTTAACGAATTGTTGTGTGATGTAGTAGAGACTTGGATAAGTATTCCAGAATTTTTTTGAAAGCCTAGAATAGTAATTATTTTCTTAGGAATTGGCCCTCAGTTGTCAATCTGGGTCGCTGGCGACCCAAATGAAATTTCGCTCTTGTATTTCTTCGAAATAATTTCTTATTTTTATCGAGCAAAGTTTGAAACATTTTATTTAACGAATTGTTGTGTGATGTAGTAGAGACATGTATAAGTATTCCAGAATTTTTTTGAAAGCCTAGAATAGTAATTATTTTCTTAGGAATTGGCCCTCAGTTGTCAATCTGGGTCGCTGGCGACCCAAATGAAATTTCGCTCTTGTATTTCTTCGAAATGATTTCTTATTTTTATCGAGGAAAGTTTGAAACATTTCACTTAACGGACTGTTGTATAATGTAGTAGAGACATGTATAAGTATTCCAGAATTTTTTCAGACTTTTCGAATACATCGAATGGTAATCATTATTTTAGGAATTAATGTGTGGGAAAGATATTCAAGTAGTGAATAGCTAATTAATCGACTAGGTTTGATTTGTCATTGTATCGAATGATACTATAAACGACCATTCTTTTTCAGCCATGCTGCTTCCAAATTATAACCAACTTCTATATACAGTTGACTTAGAAGTACTTTTTCTAGAAATTAATAACTGGAAAAAACGTTGAAGCAGTGAATATCTAATTGATCGAGTGGATTTAATTTCTCATTGCACAGAATAATGCCATAAACGACCATTCTTTTCAGCCATACTCCTTCCAAATTTCAATCAATTTTAACCAAATTCTCTACGCAGTCGATTAAAAGCTTAGAAGTAGCTTTTCTATGAATTAATATACAGAAAAAGCGCGCGAGTATCGAATAGCTAATTGATTAACTAGGTTTCATTTCTGATTGCACAGAATAATGCCATAAACGACCATTCTTTTCAGCCATACTCCTTCCAAATTTTAATCAATTTTAACCAAATTCTCTACGCAGGCGACTAAAAGCTTAGAAGTAGTTTTTCTATGATTAATATACAGAAAAGCGAATAATTAATGTACAATAATAAAGAATAATTAATATCCAGAAAAAGCGCGCGAGTATCGAATAGCTAATTGATTAACCAGGTTTCATTTCTGATTGCACAGAATAATGCCATAAACGATCATTTCTTCCAAGTCACACAGCGTTCCAAATTTTCTCTCGATACCGTAGGTGTACACTACTCAAGAAATTTCAGCGCAAACACAACGATTACACGGATTAAGATAAAAGCGTTCGCACGATCTCCGTTCTCCGTATTCCCGCGAAACAATTTTAATTCCCCACATTTTTTTGCTCGTTCTCACATTCGACCAACTCAATTCGTGTCTCATTCTCAGAAACGGATTATTGACATTGGCATTTTTCTGTTTATATAGGCTGTCGTGCTCGTTAATGGCTGCCAGGGTCGTCGGCTAGAGGCCGTTTAACGAAGTTTAGTGCTGTCAGTGCGATAACACAGCCCGTACCCGATGAGTGTAAGTATACGATATACCGATCGATTAGCGAGTTCATTTGAATTCACCTAACCTCTACTCTTCGATCGACCGGTTCGTCGACCTTGTTCCTTCGCTTTCTTAAAAAGAGATCCCCAACGATCGTTTCGTTTTCTCCGATTTTTCCCCGAATCGATCATTTTCCGTCCTCTATTCCCTGCCCGAGACATTTTCCAATTTTTCTCTCTCCTCTCGGTGTAATACGATGAAAAAGGAAAAGAGAAAGAGACGCGAAGGGAACGTTTCGTAATAAGAAACACGCGCGAGTATATGTACTTGGCGAGTTTCCGTATCGAATTAAAGCGATCCGCTCGAATTAAGTCCAATAAAACGCGGCCGGTTCTGCGTTCGAAGCGTGCTCATTTAGCTCGGTTAAATGATCGGATTCAGAGACGCGGCACGCATAAGCAGCACGTAAATTAGTTAGAACGATCTTACAGTTCGGTTGCGTCAGACCAGACAAGCTTAGTATAATAGTATCCCGCGATACTTTATTTTCTTTTCTGCGCGAAGGAAATCTTCCAGAGAAGAATCTCTCCCTAGTGTGGAATTTTTATCTGTAAAACCACCGTGGCCGGTAGAGCTGCGCGAATTAGTCGGAGAAATCGGATTTAATTCGAGTATTCGGAGGAATTTAGTTCGAATCGCTTCGAGCGGAATAGAGTATCTCGAATGTTGCGGGCAATTTGAAAGATGAGAGCCATTTGCTCTCGCTATTTCACGACTCTCACTATTTTGCGTGAGCGACCAATCGACTTGAGTTTTTTTTTAGAAGTTACTTAGATTAAGTATACTGTATGACGTGTAATAAAAGATTTGGAAAAAATTGCAATTTGTGGGAATCGCGAATAAAATTGTAAAGGTTCACAGTTTGCAACTTTTTTTATCTAAGGTTGTAATGAAAATTTCAAACGTACAGTGGCGGCCAGCTACTTAAGACCGCTGGGTAGTTAAGGAAATAAACAGTGCTAATATTTTATTCGTTGTATTTTTCGTATACTAAACTCATATGAAATACATTTTGAAGTATGTTATACCATAATATCGCAATAATTTTATTTACAACACTATTAACTACAAATATTTTTAACATTTTCTCAGATTAGGTCGTTATAACAGCGGACAACTACTTAAGACCGATTCGTGTTTTTCATTTTTCGCTTATTTTCACATTACATAGTTGCATCAGATCCTTAGTTACCATCATTGTTGACATGGTTGCGATGGATCACTTCATTCAAGATCGCAAACAATTGTTAATCAGTCAACAATCATGAGTCGAGAGAAGAACATACCTCCTGAACTATGAATTCAAATTATATTATTGAGAGATAAGGGATACTCATTTTCGGCAATTGCTACAAAAATAAATATTTCCAAAACGGCGTGTATACAGGCAATGCAATTTATATCTAAGACAGGATCAGTTTGTAACGTGTCGCGTAAAAGAAGGCCTCGTAATACAACAGCACGAGAAGATCGCATTCTTCACAGCATCTCTGAAGCGGACCATTACAAAACAGCCGAACAAGTTCTCAATGAATCTGGTGTCGAAATTATCAGCAAAATTAGTGTTCGAACAGTGCGAAGAAGATTAAACGAATTTAATCTTATGGGTCGCATCGCTCGCAAGAAGCCACTCATTTCCAAACGAAACCGAAAACTTCGTTTACAGTTCGCTAAAAATCATCGCAACTGGACAATAGCAGACTGGTCAACAGTTGTTTTTACCGATGAGTCCAAGTTTAATAGAATGGGGTCAGATGGCAAATTGTATGTTCGACGTCGTGTCATCGAGGAATTTTCGCCAAAATGTATAAAATCAACCGTGAAAGGTGGAGGAGGTTCAGCGAACGTTTGGGGAGCGTTTACGTTACAAGTTGTTGGCCCAATTCATAGAATTGAAGGAATAATGGATCAATACAAATACATTGATATATTAAATGAGGTATTGCTCCCATTTACAAGAAATCAAATGCCAGATAACTGGGGATTTTGCAAGCTGACAATGACCCGAAACACACAGCCCGTAGGGTCAAACAATTTTTATGTCAGCAAAATGTAAACATTATACCATGGCCCTCTCAATCTCCAGACCTCAATCCTATTGAGATGCTATGGATTGATGTGGAGAAACATGTAAAATATAAAAAGCTCAAAAATTTAAATGAACTGTACGCTGTTATTCAAGAAGGGTGGAATAATATTCCAGTCGAGCGTTGTCGTCGTTTGATTGAGTCTATGCCAAGACGTTGTGAAGAAGTGATACGGCAAAAAGGGAGTGCAACGCGTTACTAACTACTTTTTAAGTTTTATGTTTCCGCAATTACCAAGTTTTATTAATTTTACCTGTATTTATAGTATTAGTCTAATTTGGTTTTAAGTAGTTGTCCTCTGCTATAACAAACTAATCTGAGAAAATGTTAAAAATATTTGTAGTTAATAGTGTTGTAAATAAAATTATTGCGATATTGTGGTGTAACATACTTCAAAATGTATTTCATATGAGTTTAGTATACGAAAAATACAACGAATAAAATATTAGCACTGTTTATTTCCTTAACTACCCAGCGGTCTTAAGTAGCTGGCCGCCACTGTACCTTTTGTAGATACATGACAATTATATACACACTGATAATTACCAGCGCATTAATATGTTAATACACTACAATACATTATAATTTACGTTTTAAGTTTCCACTAAAAGCTCAGATAAAGAATTTGTAAACAGCGACCTGTGCAATTTTCTTCGCGATTACCACAATTGCAATTTTTTCAAAACTTTTTCTACACGTCATCTAGTATACTAATTCTTCTATAGTAGTATACTAAAAGAAAGTTATACTGTTCTAAAGAGTGTCCCAATATTACTGCTCAATTCTTTCGAATTACTCGATTTTTTCGAGTACTACAACACGCTACTCCCTACAACGTACTGTATATTAAAGGATAACATACCCTAAATAAATAAATAATATCGAAAATCGAGTCTGGGTTCGGTTCAAAATTCGAACTTACGAGTATACTAACAGCACTAATGGCTACCCTCGTCGGACGCGTTAAAGGGCCCCTAATCCTTGCAAACACATCCAGGTATCTTCGCGTCCTTTCTTACGACCCGACCTAAGGGATGATCTGAAATCGGCCTTTCTCGTAAATTTTTTACTCTAAGGGAGTAGCGCTCCTCTCGCACGATACTATCACGCGATACTATAGCAACGTTACTAAGAAAAAATTCGAAAAGATAGCGTCTAGATATCGCTTACCTTCGCGAAGAATCGTCGTTAATCGGTGCTGACAGTCTTTACACAAGTGTCAATACTAGTAAATATAATCCTCTTCCTTTCGTATTCCTTCCCTTCCAACCCTTCTCGAACATGAGCGACTTTTTTCTGAATTTCATATCCTTCGCCGGTTTCATTTTAATCCTCGCGTGGTTCTTCTTCGTTTGTATTATTTCTTGGCCACTGCTCTGTCTTCACGAATTTCTATCCACGGTAGAGTTACCAGAAGTAATCCGGACGATTCTGGATGACGTGATGAAGTATCTTTGACATAGATCTCTTTTTTTTTTTCAATATTTCGCGGAAAGAAAATTGTGCTCGACGATCGAATGAAATTTCTCGCGATATCATCGAACGAATTGTTTTCACTGTTATTATCATTTATTCCTGTTATCACGGAACAGGTTAGGTCGGCATGCGGCCACATGGTGAAGCAGAGGAGGTTTATCGGCAACACGAACAACAAGATGATCAATATACGAGAATATTTATAGGCTTTTTAGGTTGAAAACATCGTAGACGAGACGTAAAAAGAAAAGAAAAAGAAAATTCCGTGTCGAGTGAACACGCACGCGGGATCGATCTCTGCATGCCGGTGAAAATAGAGCACAACGCAGTCTCTACAACGACGAGAAGTCACCGTTTCGAGAGAGAGAGAGAGAGAGTCGAATTGTGAAGACAGGAAAAGAAGAAACAGAAGGCACACTCTGGATGTGTAAAGGATACCCAGGTATCGGGCAGAAGAGTGCTAATGTAAAAGGAAACCGATCTACGATAGTGGATTACCGAGGACGACAGGAGAGTTAGTATAAACGCGTTCGTATTAAGCTATGGTCAACCTGCGACTACAACGACTTGATTTCCTGCTTCACGTAACTCGCCGGAGATGTTTGAGTTTCACGCGCAGGTAAGTCAGATCCGCCATCTTGGTACCGCTGGTATCCTCAATAATTCCCCTTTTCTCTGACGTTGCAGATCCGATTTATCGAGAGTTCGTACGAACAGCGAGTTTAGAGAGTTGCAGGTGTGCCGAGGGATAGAAAATTAAGGAGAGAAGCAAGAGAGAAAAGAAGAGAGGAGGATAGAAAAGGTTGCTGTTAAACACGAGGGAAACATGAGTTCTCTGTAACACGTGCTGCCAGGGAAAAAGAGATTTTGATGCAGCCATTGTGTGCTGCCCTCGTTCACGTATCTTACTGCCAGCGAGTTCGTGCTTCGTTAGACAGGTACATCCAGCGAGATACTTTCTAATGGTAGATACACCTTGACGGTGTTCAAGGAACAGGGATGTGTATGTACGGCTTTTTTCCTTTCCGCGAGATCTCACCTCCGTTTCGTGTTGTCTGGTAAATCGCGAATCTCGCGGTGAAAGTAGCCTCTCGACCAACGATTACGTATATACGCGCGCACGAGTAACGTCCTCGCGCGATAGGCTAGCCAACGCACGGTGGAAAATTTATGGATGCCAGGTGAGAGAGAGAATGGCGATAGAGAAAGAGAGAGAGAGAGAATGGCGACAGAGAGAGAGAGAGAGAGAGGTGTGACGTTAATACCGAGGAAAGGTTACACACCTTTCTGCTCTGCCGTGAAAGTGAACGCAGGAAGACAATGCGGAAAATGGTAATGAGAAGATCAGAAGAGACAGGATAAATCGTCGAGGCGATAAATTATTCTACCGATATATCCCCGGGAATAGGAAGGTTTTGCGCGCCTTTTGCCACTTGAATCGGAATTGCAACGACGCGAAACACGCGGAATTTTCGATCGGTTGTAGGGAATCGGGGGAGGGGGAAATGGATGTTTGGAATAGCGGCGTGTAAAAGGTGCGAAGAAATATACGCGAAGGAATATACTCGTTCATATTTCATACACGTGAGATATCTACCAGTTTCGCAAATGGTGTTCCATTCGCAATATGCTTTGCCGAAGCGAGAGTTTGCAGAGAGGAGAGGAGAGTGAGAGAGAGAGAGAGAGAGATGGATCTTCCTCTAAATATCGGTTAGCGTCGAGCTTATTCAACGGCACTTTGTCATCATTTAGCGACAACCCCGTTTCAACTCGCGAACGTCATTCCCCGAGTACTTACTCCGACTGTTGCCGTTACAGACCTTGTCGTCTTCGGAACGTGTCGACTTCTCGAAGATTCCCGCCGACAGTGAAGCGTTATTTCAATTATCTACCTACAATTTGTCTCAATTGCCGTACACACACACACACACACGTCTCTCGATGCTTGCAAACTTACCGACTTCAGCTATTTTTCTCTTTCTTTTCGCAGGTTCTTTTTTTCTTCTTTTAGGTTTCCAGCGATGATAGTACTCGCGAAGGGATAGACAAGAAAAGGGACAAACCAAAGTAAACCAGTGATATTTTTACGCAGTATTGCTTCTTCCATATTGTGTTACGATAAAGCGAGGAGGAAAGAGAGAGAGGAAGAAGTGTTGAACGTGTCGTAGCGAGTATAAAAAGGGGGAATAAAAGAGATCGAATATATTTGGACGAAAAAAAATATTATACACGAACTGCAACGATACGAGAGAGATTTTTTTTTCATTTGTTTCTACCACTCGAGAGCCGACATCGGCAGGATTTCTTCATAATGGTGAGTACCTCTGCAATCTTACGAACTGTTACGCGTAAATTTTCTATCGCTTCGAATGAACGCGCAATTTTCAAATTTCCCGCGCCGCGAACGAGCGTCCGATTGACGTTTTCAGCGCGGTGACGTTGTGAAAGCGTCACGAGTAAAAATTACGTGGAAAATGGAAAACAAAAAAATGGGAAAAAGAAGGAGGAACGAGAGAATAATCGAGTTAGAGAGTCACGAGGCTTTCATTGAAGCGGTCAATTTATATGAACCTGGTAGACGATTATGCGTTGGCAGCCACCACGCAATTGTTCCGCCACATCGATACCGACGCATCTCGCTTAATTATAATTAACGAACACGACTTGTGCGGCTTATTCCGTTCGCGACAACCGAAAGCTTGTAACGAATGTGAAAACGGAGGAACAGCGTTGTGCGAGCACAACTTTTTAACAACCCCTTTTGCGTCTGATCGTTTTTCTAGAAGACGATCTTGTTTCGTGAGAATTCGTCGTCGATTGTAATATATTTCCTTGTATCTTCTTTCTTTTCAATTCGACGTTGAGAAACCGAAAGAAAGAGACACAAATGAGAGACCGTGACTTGTTTCATGAGAATTTTCGTGCTTTTTTTTCAATTCGACGTTAAGAAACCGAAAGAGAGACAAATGAGAGACCACGACGACTATAGAGCGGTGGTTTCTGAATGGATACTCCAGACGACGCACGAGTATGTAGTCGGTTTACGATCCGCCGGTACTTCCGGCTGATTCATTGGTTAATTTGGGCGACCACGGGAAATTCCGTCGCGAATTCCACATGTGTCCGGAACCTGACATCTTATCTAAGCTCTCAGCCAAGAAAGCCGTTATAGTTATTCGAGAATAGAGCGTCTGAAAGCCTGTGGATAATTGATCTTCGTTGTTGTTGGCAATTGTTCACGAAGGGATTATGTATAGAAGAAATTCCTTGGATATTCTCGACAGGAGTTGGATTTTCCTATTTTTAGGAGCCGAGAAAAAATTCGAGGAATCGAACCCAGGACTTCTGGGTGGCAAGCTGGGACTCTATGCCCGTAGCCAAAGCGCCCTCCAAGTTTCTTCGTTGTTATTCGCTTCTTTTGATGGACATGTAGACCCTGATCTCACATGTTTACGATTCTTCGTGGCGTATTGACATAGTTGAGTCGAAGTTTTCGTTTTATACGTAGAATTGAATCAGCATTTCTCGTCCACGTTTCGAAATTGTCACTATTCTTGAGAAACGTGCAACCTAACCGTCAAATTCACGAAATATCCAGTAAACACCTTGCTAGCCTAACAATTCACCCTCGAAATTAGAAAGAAAAAGGGAAAATTCGAAAAATTGATTCTCCCGAGAGAGAAAAATGGTTTTTAAACCGACCCGCGTCGAAGGGAACGGTGTTGGCAAAGTGTTACCATTGTATCCGTCGGTAACCTCGTTTCAAAAAGCAACGACGTTGTCGCTGGTAGTTTTCAAGTTTGGTCGGATTTTCAGTGGAAATGGGCGCGAGAACATCGCTCAAGAAAAAGCATGCACCGTGCTTATTCCTTTACCTCCGGCAGCCATTGAGGCCCATGCCGTTTCGCGGCAGAGAAAAGAAGGAACGCGCGGCAATAATACGCAGGAAATGAGGGTGACCCCGATCCGAAACGCAAATGAAGCCCGTGTGCCTGGCTGGTGAACACGCGACCACGTGGAAAACTCGCGTGTGTCAGCGGTTTTCCATATCTCTACCCGTCTCCCTCCCTCTCTCTCGCTCTTCCTCACTCACTCTCGTTTCCACCAATTCACCACCCGTTCCATCGTTGGAACGAGGCGTTTTCCGGTGTGCTCGCGCGTGCTGCTGCGATTAACCCCGAAACTCTGCAACGACGAAGAATAATTAGCGGTGATGCGTCCCGCGAAACCGGTATTAATCGGTTCGGAAATAATAGATGTGGCCGTGGCGATTAAGCCCACCGAGAGGGGGAAAAAAAGATGAGCAACGCGATGATAACGCCGTTTAATTAGCGTGCGACGCACACGTTTCGACACAGTCGTGAACGTTACATGGAACACCGGTCGAGTGAAAACCTTCCAATTTGTCGTGGCATTTGTTTCGCGTTGTAGAATATTGCTGGGTTTCACTTTGTCTGTCTCTGCATTGTGTCCCGTCATGCTCCACTCCCTTACCCCGCTCGATATGTGCCGGTCTATGGTGACTGATTGGATTCGAAGTACGATCCACCGTTTCCACCATTCACTCCCGTCGTTGATGGATTTCCCCCACTCCTCCACCTTCTTTTTTCTTTTCTGAAACATTTGGAAATTAACGGAGAGGTTAGGGTGGATCGGTTTGACCTTCGAGCCTGAGGTCGCTTTTTGAAGAGTCTTTTCCTTTTGGGCAGCCTTTCTGGAGGGAATGTTGGGTTGTGGATAGGTGTTCGTGTTTAGAGTTTCAATATGAAAATTTTATAATTAAATCATGTGTGTACGTCGACTTATTCCTGAATTTTTTGGCAGAATAATTTCGGGCCAAGTTCTTCGTAAAAACCCTCCACTGTGCGTTGGACGAAAATCTAAGCCGGGTCACATTTGACCCATCGTAAGATTTCTTTCTATATTCGTCAGAAAATCAATTTTTCTTTACAAATTGTTATCTAAATACATTAAGCTACATTTTTCAGTAATTTGTGTCCCGTCATGCTCCACTCCCTTACCCCGCTCGATATGTGCCGGTCTATGGTGACTGATTGGATTCGAAGTACGATCCACCGTTTCCACCATTCACTCCCGTCGTTGATGGATTTCCCCCACTCCTCCACCTTCTTTTTTCTTTTCTGAAACATTTGGAAATTAACGGAGAGGTTAGGGTGGATCGGTTTGACCTTCGAGCCTGAGGTCGCTTTTTGAAGAGTCTTTTCCTTTTGGGCAGCCTTTCTGGAGGGAATGTTGGGTTGTGGATAGGTGTTCGTGTTTAGAGTTTCAATATGAAAATTTTATAATTAAATCATGTGTGTACGTCGACTTATTCCTGAATTTTTTGGCAGAATAATTTCGGGCCAAGTTCTTCGTAAAAACCCTCCACTGTGCGTTGGACGAAAATCTAAGCCGGGTCACATTTGACCCATCGTAAGATTTCTTTCTATATTCGTCAGAAAATCAATTTTTCTTTTCAAATTGTTATCTAAATACATTAAGCTACATTTTTCAGTAATTTTTTATTTTAAATGAGATTGCTAATTAATGGTTCAATGACCTTTAAAAAACACGTTGAAATTAAAAAAATAAAATACGGCTTCCCATTTAAAAAAATAAAGATGATCTTGAAATATTCACATCACATTATGTCATCCTCCGTGTCATACAAATTTCGTATGCAAAATTTTTCCATATTACTGCAAATAACGCAACTATTCCAGGTGCACAAAGTTTCTGCATCACTCTGTATATCCCTCGAACCGTCTACTCTCTAAGTAACACGGGTCACAGGTGACCCAGCCTCCTCCTCTAGTTAATACAGTCCCACGCTCCCTGGATCTATATTCACAATACAAAAATCTTTCCCCGAAGTGAAATTTCAATTTCTGAATAGCAAACTTACGAGAAGAGTTTACAGAACGAATCTACGTTACGTTCAGATTTCGAATTTCGATTCGATTCGATTCTCGTTGGCAGTCCGAAAATATCGACGAATAACGCGGTGGGTGAACACGCAGAGAAGAACAGAGAAAGAGAGAAGAATGACGGGAATGTTCGTCGAAGTCGAAAGTTTTTGTTTCGCCGCAGAAACAGGAGTTACGATTGCTCCGGGTACTGCGATAAAAGATTTGAAATAACGGATGGACGCGTTGTTTGCCGCAGAAGAGAGAGCGTTCCAGTGAACTCGAGATCGAGCGTTCGTTTCGCGATAACGACAATGATTTTCGTTAGGGGGTGGCGGTGTGTTAAGCAAGCGGTAAAATATCGCCGGCCATCAATTCGTCCGTTTTCATTGCCCCGATTTTTCACCGTTGTAATCCGTCAATAAATCCTGGAAGAAGATAAATTGCCGCCGCCGCTTCGTTACAAGAGTGGCTAGGCATCGTTACATAGAGTATTCCAGGTTGGAAACAAAAAAGAAAACAGAAGCAAAAAATAGAGGAAATCGTAAAATCATTTCTGTGTTTGCAACCGCGAGTCGATCAAACTCTACGGTTTTTTCTTCTTCGTGTCTCGGTAAACAGTTAACAAACGCTTACGTATCCGTGACATTGCTCTATTCAGCGTTCTTATTTGAATTGACCGTGAGTCATGCACGACGGGAGAGAGAGATTGCTTTTGTTTAGTTTGCTCTTTATTATCGTATCAGGTATACAATATATTCGAGGTTGACGGTGGGATATTTGAGCAGGAAAGTTACAAGACGCGTGATAAAATTTCACCCGATAATGTATACTTCGTTTTCGGGGTCACTCGCGATTAGCGCGAACGGGCCGCGAGCTGCGAATCTCTCGGCTCTTCGGTCTATTTCTGATTTACTCGACACGGTTTACGAAATCCACGTCGAAACCCGCGGCGGCAGTTGTATTTCGAGCGGCGTCCGGTTTATTTAACGCGAGGCAAAACACAAACATAGTCTTCGCGAAACCGTCATCGTAAGCACACGATGAATATATATCGTTCATTCAGTACACCTTTTCTCAATGCATACTCATTATGCCGTCACGTTGAGACGTTCTTCGTATATCACGGTATCAAGAGTAACGAACAGTTGTTAATAAGAAAATTATGAAATCACTCGAGTTTCTTATTATGCAGATTTCATCGTCGTACAAGTGTGACGGTATCTTCTACGCTCCGCCGCTAGAGGGACGGACTGACGTTAACCTTTCTCGCTGGTCCTCGCCGAGGCTTCTATTATTGTATACAGGGTGTCCCAATTTTTTCGGATAAAACTTGGTCAGTGTGTTCTACGAGTGTAAGTGAGAGAAAAATGTTACGTGAACGTAGGTCGTTTGAAGCTTCGTTGAA